TCAGGAGCAAGATCTCAATGGCAATGACCCTGGTGTCCCTCCAGAGACATCTGCTCAGTGCCCACATCTCTGCTGTGTGAGTACCACGCGTTTGTGGTGTGGAGCAGGGGGGAGGTGGGATGTCACGCCTGGTGCCAGGCTGAGCCAGGGCAAGGGATGGGGTGGGTTGATCTCAGGGACTGTGGGTCCCACTGGCAAGAGCTTAGGCACTGCCACCACTGTGGCTGCTGCTCAGGAGGGCACGAGAGTAAAGCATGTGCATGCTCTCCCCCCACAAAGCTGCAGGCAGGCAAAAGCTCTTTTGACTGAGAAACTCCAAAGGACACGACGGCTCAGGAAGCAAAGCCAAGCCTTCTCAGGGGAAGGCTTTTCCCCAACTCTAAGAGGTCTGTGGGTGGGATGAGGTGGAGTAGGTCCGTGCGGGTTGTGGGAGAGGAGCCACAAGGCTTCTGCTCTCCCCAGCTGTCTGGAGAAACAGCCCCCAGAAAGATCCCTTTAACTTCCAGACTTGCTTCTTTTCAGCTCAGAAGTGAAAGTCCCTCTGTGAAGGGGAGGCATTGCAGTCTCTTCTTGCTGGCCCAGGTCACTCCTGATGAGCACTGGTGGGTAAGCATCAGCCAGCCATAGCACCAGTTCAAGTTACCCCCTGGGTGATATCAGCAGGAAGATGTCACAGATGCAAGTTCAGACTGCCAGCAGCTGCTGAAAACCCTAGGCTCCCTTTTGCTGGCCCTTTTGTGCTGACTCCTGCCTCAGGGTTTACCTATGTGCTTAGTAAAAGACTGTGGCAAACCAAAGATTTTCTTCAGCAGCTGATGCCTACTTGTGAGAGCACATCCATGGGCAAACAGCTGGACAGAAAGAGCTCTTTGGACAGCAGTGCCACCACTGGGACACGACGAAGGATGCTGTGGAGGTCAGACCCATGAAGGCCTGGGGGAGAGCTGGCCAGTTTGCTGTTCCCTCCCTTGCAGACCTTGGCTGTGCGTGAGCATCCGCCTGGTGCTTGAGCATCCATGCTCTCACCCTGAATCGCAAAAATGTGAGCATGGGATGAGAGCCCCAAACCACCAAAGCACTAGTGAGTGCCCTATGAAGGCAACAGCAAATTAACATGCAAACCTATCCCCAGGTTAACCAGAGGGAAGTGCTGCCGGGGGTCACACCTGTGCAGCTGGAAGCAGGCATAACAAGAGTCAGTGCTACAGCCCACCCTCCTACGTATCTCTAGGGAGGAGAGTCAGTTTTGGCTCTCTGAGCAATGTTTTCCCAATTACAAGTGGTGGAAAGAAGAGAAACATCTTTCAAAGACAGAAAATGACACATTTCCTTGTTTTTTATTCTTATTTTTATGTTAAACACAACTTTGAAATATTCTGGGGATATGTTTATCACACTATGAGAATACAGGATGGCTTTATGTAACTGCAACTTTCAAACACTCTCCTGACAAACCTTAAAAGTTATGTACCAGCATTACTCTGTCTTCTTCACTTTTCAGAAGTGTTCAGTGTAAAACATGCTGCATATTTTTTCCTGGGGAATCAAACCAACAGGAGCTGTTGACAAATGTCTTTGGCAGTGGTATTGTCAATGGTGGTCTCTCTTGGATGGTCTAGGAAGGATGTCCTGGGGGAAAGCAGTTGGCTGGAGGATTTCTCCTCCTTGGCCGAGGATGTTCCTGTTGACACAAAGTAGGACTTTTGGAAGAGGTTCTTAAGGTTGAAGCCTCCACTATCCAGTAAGATGACGAGACATGGTTCCTCCATGGGAGGACTCCATTACCTGAAAAGGTAATTTGTGTTTTCTTACACATAGGTCAGATATTGAACAAGACAGACACTGAAGGTTTGCATGTGAAAAAGCACTCCTCATTGAGTAATCAGATGGCTGCTTGTTTGCAGCCTCCTAGAGTACGGATGCCCTGTGTGAATGGCCTTTGAGCACACAGGCTGATAGCAAGCTATGTGAGCATACACAGAGTTGATAGTAAACTGCTACATGGGATGAATTTCTTTATCTGCAAACAGGATCCTGAATGACACAGACTCCCCTTCGTGAAGTTAAAGCTGGAAGGAGGCTTGTCCTGATGAGTGGAGCTCATATTTGCCACAAAGAATTACCATTATTCACAGGATCCACTTTTCTTTCAGCCTTTCTGACATTGATAATAAAAGATACAGACATGTATACTAAGATGGAAATCTTTATAGAAAGCAATTGAGGCAATGCCTTGGAAGTCTGCCCAAATATTCTTCTAAGGACTGAAAAACAAAAAATCACTCTTTCAGAAAATTGCTTTTATGGGGGAGGAAGGGCAAGGTAGTTCATAGGTGTATAAAATAATGTATAGGAAAGGATGATGTTTGTCTGTGACAAACAGTCTCATCACCTAAATCAGTTCTCCCTCTCACACACATACTGAGTCAATGAACACTATCTTAGAGAAGACAGGAGATCTGACTTCTTACAAGCAATTAATTACTTTTCCAATGCAGAAAAAGGTGCAAAATACTGCATTTTTCTTTGGTACAAGACTTCCTTCCATCTTCTCTGAGTGAGTGTGGTTTGATGCTTTTCTCTTCTTGACAGCCTTCATGCTGTTTTCTTTCCTGGAGGCTGTTCATGCTGCCAAGAGAGGGCAGCAACGAAGCACAGAAATTGCATGCCTGGCCCTGTATTAGGTCACATGGGACCTAATTCATTAGCACAGAAACTCTGTGTCTTACTGTAATTACTGCTCAATGCACTTAGCCCGCTGCCAATTCGTTCTCACTGCAAGAGCAACCCTCTGAATTGTTCTCTTCTGTTTGTGTTTTCTTTCAGGCAAAAGAAATAAGCCCAAACTTCTGCTGAATCATCTGGAAATAACTTCTGTGCTGTGGGAGCATGGTCAGACAAAAACCAGGGGCTGTTCTGGGGATGCTGTGTAAGAGGCATAGATCCCACACCTGCATTTCCACAGCTTTACAGGGGACTAAAAGTGTGTGACAAACAAGTGTACAGCTATTTTATACCTTTCTTTCCATGTGTAAGACATTTTCATAGTTCATGCTGTCACCTTCCTACTGCAGGCTGTGTTACCGATAACACCTGCTCTTTAACACACAGCATGTTCTCTCAAATACACCATTCCTGTAAGATCCAGAGCCACCTCCTTCATGTGTGAGACTGCATGATCAGATCACCACATATCCTTAAAGACATGTTTATTCCAGTATTTATTGACTTGATCCAGGCTGAATCAGCTTTAGAAACAAAAGTAACCTGGTTGGTTTTGATTTGGATAATTATTTTTACCTTAAAAGAGCTGCAGTGTTTTGGCCCCTGCCTCCCAAGGCAGTTGGTTCTCCTGCCAATATTTTTGAGATTACAACATTAAAACGCAACATTGACAGTGGGCTTTTGCTTAATGAGGAAAATATCATGGCCTGATGGAAAACAGAGGTAGAGAGAGGGAGGCTCTGCATGGACTTTGTCTTACTGCGGGACAAAAGTGCTCTTGCTCTCTGGGGCTCTGCTCTTCCCATATCAAGCATGGATGCCGGCTCTTTACCCCGTCACTGGAAAACACCTGAAGCTCTACTGATAAAAGGAAACTAGCATTTAAGGGCAGAAGAAGAAGAAACCGTCCCCAAGCACACTGTACAGAGCAGGACGGGGCTAGAACAGCAGGAAAGCATGAAGCAGTGGATGACCCCTGCCGCCTGTGCTATACTTAGACTTGAACAGACTAATGCTGGCTTAACCTTGTGTATAAAAAAAGGAAAAGCTGTGGGTCAGACCGAGACCTAGTTGTGGGAGACCTTGACGGGCTTCTCAGGGCAGGAGGAGCTGAGAGAGCACCACAGGGAAAGTGTTCAGCCGGTGTCAGACCCGGATTGCTCTGGGCTGGGGGGAGACACCCATGATCCCGCTGGTGACCGTGCCCATTTCTCCTCAGCCAGGAGGCTGCACAGCAAACAGCATTTTAGGGGGAAGGAGATTAAAAGAGAGGAGAGGAAGCACAGGGAACAGGAGTGGTGGGGTTACACCAGGCAGACACTGCTTACTGTGCAAGTACTGCTGCTCTTACCGTCTGAGCCTGATCCGGCCCTAGATGTCCTCTGTAACCTGGGCAAGGGCACTGAAGCCCAGATTAATTTAAAGGCCAATTCAGTTGCCTAAATTCCCTGGAGGGTATAAGCCTTGCCTGCACTTTCACACTACAGCTAAATCGGTCTGGCAGCTGCTGAAAGTGGCAGGACCCCTCCTGCCCTGCTGTCCCCTGGGGGCTTTGCTCAGGTCTGCGAGCAGCATTAGCAGAATTAAAAACCCCAGCTCCTCCAACTTCTTTGCACAAAGGGAGGATTCTCCTGTAAGTTCAGCTCAAGCTGTGCAAACGATGATTAAAGAAATAAAGAGGAATCAGACAGCAAAAGGCTGGCCGTTCAGTTTTCCTCAGGGGCTGCACCTTTTATCACCTCCCCAGAGCTGCCAGCATCGGCTTCATAGTGCTGCCGGCAGCCAGGCAGCCCCTGCGTATGACCTTCATTGATTCCGGCTGGGGTGAGAGCGCAGATCACACAGGGGACGGATGAGTTTCCACCCAGCCATCCCTATGCCAACATCTTCAGCAAAGCACCTCCCTTTGCAGCATAGGAACCACAACAAGAGCTGGACCCCCCTGGATGGACTTCTCCATCGGTGGCGGCTGGTGGGAAGTGCCTGGAGAGTGCTCAGCAGCGAGTTCATCAGCAAAAAGGGCTGGGAACTATTGGACTCAAATATCAGCTTTTCTCTCAGCATTTCTGCCTTCTTTTACTAGCACGAGTAATAGCTTCCTCCAGTCAAACAAGTCTGTTATTTAAAAAAAGCAAGGAATTCTTTTTTTATATTGTCCTAACACTCAGTAGCTCTTGTGCTTTTTTCTTTCTCTGACTTTTTTTTTTTTAAAGGAATGGAGAAAACAGACATTAGTCACAGCAACAAATCATTTTTTGATGTGTGTGTTTGTTGTAATGGGCAGTAATAACTCCAGACAAACTACTCTCAGCAAAGAACAGCAAAAGGCTAACAGTTTGAGCACAGGTCTAAGAGACTTCAAGCCAATTAATGAACGGTGTGGCCTCTCTGCTGAAATCAGAGAGCCCACAAGCAGGGCTTCAGGAGTTTGCAGCAGTAATGAGACCACTGAGGCTGTTTTCTGTAAGTTTGTGATTCTGCGCGCTGACAATGATGCAGATGAATCCATCCAGATCCAGAACCTGCTGCAGAATAAATTTTGTGTTAAACCTGGCATAATCTTCGCACTGATACCTTGTAGTGAACATGTCTTGGAAAACTTAAGTGATGCTGTGCATGTCTCAGCATGGACTATTATGCTACTGACAAAATTTTCTGAATGGATCTTGGTATGTGTTTCAGTCTTACACCTCCTTTGTCAATGCTCTTAACAGCATAAATTACAACTCTGTGATACCTGTGAGGCCACTGAATAACCCACTTACCCAGGAGAAGACTCTTTTTTGCTTTGCAGGCTGTTAACACACTGTAAGAGGATAGTCCTGGCTTTGCAAAACAAGTGGAGAAAATTTTCCAGGAGTCTAGATACAGGCAACAGTGAGAGATACAGAGGGAGGAAAGGATGAAACAGAAACTAGAGCGCTTGTCATAGTGAAAAACAGTGAATTTAGAATAAAGCAGAAGTGATATTCCTTGCTCTTGTCTTATAAAGGAAGGGAAATTCTTCTTTTGACAAAACGAATGGTAAAGTTCTCGCCAAGGCATGTTAATTAAGTATGGCTGAATGCATGCCGTATACGAAGGCATGCCTGGCACTGTAGCTACTTAGAGGTACAAAATGCTGCCAACCCCAAACCCTAGCTATGTTTGGCTTTGCGTTGTGAGCTTTGCCAGACATGCATTGTTTTCCATGACCAATGTACAGCTCTTCACATCTTGTAGCTGATACTGAAAAATATTAATAAAAGAGGAATACTAGTCATCACAATGAAACTAATACATCATGAAAGGCACTCTATGAAATATGCTGCTACTTTGAGAAATGGGCATTTCAAAGATATTTTATTTTTGTTATATTTGGGATTTTTTTTCTATGTAGAAAACATTTTCTGATGTGTTTTGTTATTTCAAGAAACATTTTCTTGGCTTATTTTGACTAAACTTTGTTTGACACATTCTTTAAGGGAAAAAAATAGACAATTATATTGGAGAGAATAGTGTGGGAGGCTGTGTTTGTCTCCAAGGCAAGTGTTCTGAGCTCAAGCTAGAAAAGGAGGAGAGCCACAAACATGGCATTGTTTTGAATTACTTGCATTTTATGCACTTCAGATATCCTAGTTCTTAAGCATATTTGAACATATTTAAGACAGCTCTTCAATGTTCCTTTTTCCTCCTGTATTTGATAGGACTGCTAGCCATGATTTAATAAGCCAGCTTGCATTAGATTTCACTACAGTTTTGTACTGCTGATGTGGAATGTAGTTACTAAAATAGCATTGGAAATCTTTGCTTTTTCTGGTGGAAATTAAATTAAACATGATAATTTATTATTTTCTGAATGACTGACATCTGGCTATTCCAAATGTAAGGACAGTCAGCTCTGAGCAAAACTGTTTGTTCCTTGCAGAAGAGAAAAGGCAGAGAGAGGGGCCTTGGTGTCTGGATTAGTGTCGATGCCGTGCTTGTGGGAGGTAGCTGATGTGATAGCTGTGCCATTGCTTGCATGCAGTGTGATTTTGGACACAACGTTTTGTGTTCTGCCTCTCTCCCCTGTTTTGCAAGTGAGGAGAATAACAGCTATATATTTCTGCCTCAAAAGTTTAGGGCAAGAATCAGTTATGGACACACCACGTGCTTCATCCACATGCGGGCTGTACCCTTGTGCCACAGGAAAGCAGATCTGTGGAGCTGGGGGGCTGCTGGGTGTCTGCAGCCCTTGCAGAGTGCCCTCGGTGCAGCCAGTCACGGTGCCTGGGATGGCAGAAAGTCCTGAGCAGGGTAGGGGGTTTCTCAGCTAATCGCCCCCCGTGTCCCCTGCGCTGCGAGTGATGCCCATCACCAGCAAGCAGCTGCCTGCAGGCAGAGGGGAGCTTCTGACTCCTGCGCTGGGGAACAGGTGACTATAAGCTGGAGGGCCAGACCTCTGCTCCCCTCTGTCTCCCTTGCCACGGTGGGGTGGCCAGAGCTGCCCAAGCTCCTCAAGGAGAGCCACAAGCACTGCGAGCGTGGGTGGAAGGTTTTGGCTGTGGGAGGCTTTCAGAGTTTCTCCGCCAGTGCTGATTCATTGAAGTGCTGTCTACAGTATTTTTTACCTTTTTTATTTTTCCCACCAGTGTAAATTTACTTTTTCCTGTGATGTTTAAAACGGTAAACGTAAGACAACCTGTCTATAGCATACAGTCTATAAACCATACCAATGGGAGGATTATGCAAAGAAGAGAAAAGGAAAAGAGAATGGGAAGAAGTCTAAGAGAAACAGGAGGAGTTGTGGTCTGTCCTGGGCTGTTACGCAGCTAAGTGTTTCCAAAAAGGGAAACCAGTTCTCAGGCTTGGACCAAACCTCAGCAACCCAGAGACTCCTGTTCTTGAGCTACTGGGCTGCTGTGTTGTTGTTGCTAGTTATTTCTTCTGCCTCTATAAAACCATTCCTTCTGGCTGCTCCCAGGAGACACCGGTTGCTTTGCTGGCGAGAAGCCCATACTTGCAGGTAATATCCTACTGTGCAGCTCTCGGACAATGTTTGAGGGTTAAAGTCCCCAGGTTATTTACGCTTTAATGTTGTTCTCTTTCAGTAGCTAGTTCAGAAAAAAAGTGTTCCCGCAATGTTACTGTCTGCTCATACTGCTGCATACTGCCTGCAAGACCCACACGGACAGCTATCTTGTATACTACGTGCCTACAAATAAAAATTGCCGCCTCATTTTCATGCAGAAATGTGTGCCTTGTCACTACTGATCACTGCCTACCCTCCTGCCAGTCTTACCGGGATGCTTAGTGTGCTGCCCTGCCGGCTGACAACTGCCTGGCCATTAAGCAAGGGTCTGCCTGGGAGTTGCAGACTCCAGCCAAATGAAACTCCTGTTACTTGTCTTCAGCCGCGTTCGCTGCCGACCGCAGCTCTGCCATACCTCTCCTGGGCAGCTGCCTCCATGCTACATGCAGAATTCCCCGAGTACTGCAGCAGAATGCAGTACTTAAAAGGGTGTGCGGGGATACTCTGGCAAAGGGAAGAAATTTGTATCCTGCGCTAAGAAAAGCCTAAGAAATGCGTATGTCATCCAGCTGTGACCTGCCCCTGCTCTCACACTCGTGGATGCAAGTGCTGGAAAAGCAAGCTGGGTGGCCCTACCCTGTCTTTGGTACGGTAGAAGAAAAACAGTTCAGGAGTTGTGAGCGTACTGCTGGGTGAGCAATACTGCACTACAAACCGAATATATGGAATTATGTCTAAAGCTGAATTACTGCTCTCCGGGAGAAGCCAGAGCACTGTTGCCATGACTATCACGTTTGTGAGGGAGACTCTCGCCTGCATCTCAGAGCACTGTGCAGCCGGCCGCCTCTGCACTGTCTCCTTCTGGAGGTCCCAAATGTCACTTCTGCTCTGTCCTGGCAGAAGTGAGCAAAGGGTCAGGGATGGAGAGAGACTTCGGGGATGCTGAGCATCGTGCTGGACATGGGTGAAAGGCTCCTGGCCCTGGGCAGGGGGGGGCTGCGGTGGTCCCCTGGTTCAACAACAGTGTTTGAAGAAGGTTATTAATGGTTGGAAATTGGATGTGCCCGATCAGACAGGGAAGGACAGTGGTGAGACTGAGGGCTGGGACAGCAAGACAGCAGACTGGAAAAATGCTCTCTGGCATGAGTCTCAGCCCCCTCTCCCCACAGCGGATTAGGTGCTCAGAGATCTCTCCGTGCTTTGCTACGTTCAGCTGTTAAACAAGAACAGCGATCCTTATGTCGCAGGAGGCTACTTATATTTTATTTACAAATTCTTGCAATAGAAGGCATTGCACAATGGGAAGTAGAGCTGACACACTTCATAAGCCTAATAGTGTATTTGGCTTTCTCTGCAATAGGTTATTAGTGATTTTAAATTTTCATTTGCTCTGCCTGAAGGCCTGTTAAGACTTCCCCAAAAAATGCTGAGACTTATTAATTGGAATAAGCCATTTCCTGTGGTTTTTTCTCTTAGAAGTACAATCCTATTGCAAAATTTCTGGTGCTTGTCTCAGATGTTTCTGGATCAACTTAACCTGTGGAAAACATGAAGTCTTATGGCTGCCACCTTGCCCTGCATTGCATTCACCCCTTGGAGAAAGGGCAGGGTAAAAGCAGCAGCTCTTCCTTCTCAGAAAACCATCAATATCTCATTTGGCTTAATGACGAAAAGAGGAAAAAAAAAAACCCAAACCCAAAACTGAGATAAGGCAGCTTTTCCTCAGATTTCAGTGCTGGGGACGGTTTGCCTGTGCTCTCTGGCTGACAGCCAGAGTTGGGGGGTACCCACTGAAAGGACAGTGCCTGAGGACCCAAGGTACTTACTTGGCATAAATCCAAGACATTTATAAATCTTAAATAAGCTAAGGCAATCTGTGGAGAATAGTTTTAATAAGCTCAGTGTGGTTAGCATTAAAAACCAAGCAAACAGCTCCAATCTGCTCTAACTGAATCTTCTGAGGCATGCTTGGGAGAATCCCTAGTAAAGTGTATTTTAGTAATCCAGCCTGCAGAAGAAAATGGAGTAGATGCTCATATGCTGCGGCAGTGGAACAGGCAGCCTACATAAGGAGGGAATTGGTTACATGGGTGTCTGTTGCAGACTTGCTCAGAAATGCGAAACCTTCCTGTTAAAGGCAAGTGCTGAAGAGCTTGTGGGGTTTCCTCAGGCAGGTTGGGCATCTAGGTGGGAGGATGCGGGGCAATGCCCAGGGGATAGCTCTGGCCGACGGCAGCTCCGCAAGGAGAAGAGCCACCACCAAAATGACACCGGTTTTTCTTATTAGAAAACCTCCAGACAGGCAGAGACACCCCTGCACAAGGGAACTGAGAAACTCAGTAGCTGAGCCTTATGTCATTTAAAAAAAACCAAACAAACCTCTGCCTCCTAACCTAGAATTAAGCCAGGCTTGGAAAGAGTTTTCCTGTTAGTCCATGCCCTCTGTTTCTTCAGGGTCAAGCTAGTGTTAGCAATCAGAGGCAGATTAATGGAAGAGTCCCTAGTCACAACTTAGTAAGAAGCTACTCCCAGAGATCTTTTTGCTAAGAGGCCACACACTTGCCTCTGACCAGCTGCTTATGGAAATGGTTAGAAGGCAGAAAATGAGAGCAGAACTCCCCAAGGCACATATGCGCATGACTGCGTGCGTATGCACACACAAACCCACGTGGCCAGAAACTGCTGGGAACTGCGATTCTTTGCTACAGACAGAAAGGTTTCTGTATATATATGGCAATGTAAAAGGTCACAGCTAGTCTGAACTGCTCAGTGTCTCTGCAGACTTCCAATGACAGTTACAGCTGCAGATGACTAAAATGTAGGGACGCTTATAGCACTTGCATCTGAAGCCAAGGACTGAAATACTGCCGGCATGCTCCCAGCCACTC